ATCGGAATCCTTTGGTACTAGAATAGAGGTTCTCAATCTTTTTATAGGTACCAGCCTGCCCATTACAATAATGTCTACGTACTTGACGTAATAACCTTCTTTTGTTATCAATAGATGTGTACCTTATTTACATGTAAAAGGTTATATAGGGATTATCTAAATGTCTGAATACAAATGACATCTACGTCTTCGATATTTATAAGACCACTAACTATTTTTCTATTTTTCTGTACTGCAAAGTTTTGAATTAGGGTTTCATAGTTTATTTTTATTTTTTTCTGATACGTCTTTCTCAATTGCTAGGGTCGCTAAGCCTGTTAATGTCTGTTGGAACATGGAGTGTCTTAAAAATATTTTGATAAGTTTTAATTTAAAGAAACTGCGTTTAGCTCCAGCTGAAGTATATGGTCAGTAATATACGCAGAGCAATAAAAACATTTGGAAAGCCTCCACATTTTTTTTTTTTAAGATAAAGAGAACTTTAATTGGTGTTGCAGGTTCATCTACAACATTTCTACAAATAATCAACTGTTAATACAGTGTTCACCACCACAAATTTCATTATCAAAATTTACTGTATGATATAGAAAGGGGTCCAAACAGTGTTTTAATAGCTCTGGGGGCCAATTCTTGAAATCATGCGACAAATTCTCCAATAAAAGTCATACATTTTAACCCCAAATAAATATTTTCATTTATGTATTTACAATTTCTAAATTAGATATACCTCAAATTGTTTTTTCTTTTTAGTAAATAACCATAGATAGTTATAATAGTGGAATTCAAGGTTTGTAGTTCCTAGTTATTTGTTTTTGTTTCTGGTGTCTTCAGTGTTATTATTCTGCAATTATGTCTGAAACTAGATCCACTCAAAACCAAATTAAGCGAGTGTCTTATAAAGTTTTCCACATATCATCATCAACTATTTTTACGCCCTCTATATCAGTTAGTTTGAATAAGGTGTTGTTCATCCTTCACCTTACAAGATTCTTGATCAACGACCAAGCAATTTTAATTGGACTAAGTTCACAATGTAAGGTAGCAGACGTAAAATTGTTTTATTTTGTGAATTAGCAATTTCATCAATAACAAATTTGTCATGAAGTGGCTTCATTTGTTTTATGATGTCTAAAAATTCTTGTATTACCATAGTCTATTTTCTTTTTTTTCACCTTTATTCTCCAACCACTGTATAATATCAGCCTTCTTCATAAACGCTGTCGGTGGATTATCCAACTTTACCTAGTGATTCGAAAGAACTATGTAAGCAATACTTACAATAATACAATAAATTCTATTAGAACTTACGTGGAGAATAAAAAATTGTGGGTGAGTATAGATGAGACTACAGACGTAGATAGCCGATATGTCACTAATGTCATAATCGGCACTTTAGAAATTGGATGTCCCGGTAAAACTTTTTTATTTGATTGCGAAGTCTTAGAAAAAGCAAATAATAGTACTATAGCTAAATTATTTGATCAATCTATGAGCTTGTTGTGGCCAAAGGGTATTAAACACGATAATTTACTCCTATTTCTCAGTGATGCAGCACCTTATATGGTGAAGGCAGGGAAAAATATTAAAGCATTTTACTCAAAAATGGAACACGTTACATATTTGGCACATTCTCTACACAGAGTAGCTGAAGAAATACGCAAACAATTTCCCGAAATTGATGCTTTTATTTTGAACGTAAAAAAGATTTTTTTGAAATGCCCATCTCGTGTATTGAAATTCAAAGAAATGGCGCCAGGGATACCAATGCCCCCTCAACCAATACTAACTAGGTGGGGTACATGGTTATCAGCAGCCATATAATATTGTGAAAATTATCAATTGATTAAATCTGTTGTGATAGGGTTTGATAAAGAAGATGCCGTAGCAATTGAAAATGTACAAAAACTTTTAAATGATAATAATTTGGAACTAAACTTGACATTTATCAAAGCAAATTATGGAAATTTAGCAAAATACATAACTACATTGGAAACATCTGCATTATCGTTAGCTGCCGCAATTAATATTATTGCTCAAGTACAAAATGAAATTGGAACAGACAACAGTAGTATCGGAAAATCTATTAAAAAAAACTAGAAGTTGTAATTGAAAAAAATACGGGATTTAAAACAATGAAACATATTTCAAATATTTTGGAAGGAAAAGCAACATCTCGAAATAGTACAATATCTGAAGAACTAACTGCTGATGATATGGCTCATATGAAGTTTGCACCTATGACGTCAGTTGATGTGGAACGAAGTTTCTCGAGATACAAAACAATACTGGCCGATAACCGTCGAAGATTTCTGTTTGACAATATTAAGCAGCACCTGATTATACAATGCTATGAAACAAAAGGTAAAAAGTATAACGAATATACTTATCTAAATGGTATACCTATTAAATTTTTTATTTTTTAGGGTAAAAATAAGATGGTCAGAAGATAATTGAAAGTTAATTAATTAAGGTTGTATAGTATTTAAATAGTTTTTATTAGATTTTTCATAATAATGTGTTTTTTTATAAGTTTTAAATTCAAAATTTTGTTTTTATTGAATATAAACCCATTTTTAAAGATTTGTAGGTCATTTTTTTAGTGCATTTTTTGATGTTAAAGCATTTTTTTAAGGCATCAAATCGTATTTTTTTAAGGCATTTTTCTTGTTTTGTAGAGGATTTAAATCCGTTCCCAAGTCATAACTATTACCTATAATCAGTATTAGAATTGTACTTTTCTCCCACCACCCGTCTGCCACCAGGCCGGTTTCTTTCTTTTCCTCTCTTCTCTCCTTGCTGCCAAACGATCGACAACATTGTATTTTTTTTATTCTCCTGTATATTTATGGACAACATGAAGTAGCGACAGCTGAAGTCCTCCCCGGGGATGTACGAGGAAAGACCGGTGATACCCAAAAATGATGATCAGACCCCTCCTTTTTAAGGTATATGTGTGTATTATAAAATAAAACTTAAGATATCTGGCTGGTAAGACATATTTTATTGTGTAACATTATCATTAATTATACATGATGCATATTATATAGACTGGTACCGTCCAGTGGAGCCATTGGGGTCACGGCATGGTTCATTAATTATTATTATACTCTAATGCCGGGTTGCATAAACGATCGATAAGCAGTTATCGGTTCGATAATACAGAAATCGGATCCATAAAAATATTGTCTGTTGCATAAACGACTTTTATCTTTTATCGATCCGATAAATATGTTGTTATCGGTTCGATAAATTGAAGGGCCGATTTTGGTTCGATTAATAACAAAAAGAACTCTTTAACTTTATTGAACTGATAACAGTTTGTTATCATAAATTTAAAATTTAAAAAACTCGCTAGGTAATAGCTTCCGTTCGCTTCGCTACTGTGGTTATACATTTTTTAAATTAGTTATTTTATATTTATTATTTTATAACTATTTAACATAATGGATCTAAATACATCGTCATCATCATCATCATCATCATCATCATTATCATCATCAGATGATGATGAACATATTTTTGAAATTGTTGTGAATCTTCCGAGACCACGAACATTCCGTAATCGTTTCAATCCTCTTGAAAATTACGATGATTTGGATTTCAATACAAGATTTAGGTAAGTCACTGTTGTGTAAATATCTACCAATATTTATTCATAAACGCCAATAAGTAATAGTTTAATATTTCAACAAGCATTTTATTTAACAATGTTATAGATTGACAAAGAACACATTTATGGTGTTGCTTAATGCAGTTGGTAATGATTTAAAACATTGTACCAGTAGAAATTATGCAATCATACCTGAAATTCAACTTTTAATAGCATTAAGGTATTATGCTACTGGAGCATTTCAAGTAAGATACATTTATGGATCTTTGCTTAATCTAATTATGACCCTTTAGCATTTTTATAATAAAAAATATTATTTTAGTATTTTAAGATACACTTTATTTTTTTAGGTGGTTTTAGGTGATCATATACAAGTCCACAAGTCTACTGTATGCAGAATTGTAAAACGTGTTTCAAAACGTTTAGCTTGTCTTCGTCCATTGTTTATTAGTATGCCTAAGAACCAAAATGAAAAACAAGCAGTACAGATTGGATTCTACCAAATGCATAATTTTCCCAGAGTTATTGGTGCTATTGATTGTACCCATATCAGAATACAGTCCCCAAATAGCGATATAGGCGAACAATTCAGAAATCGAAAAGGCTACTTTTCATTTAATGTACAAGCTGTGTGTAACAGCAAAATGTAGATAATGAATATTGTGGCTAGGTATTACGAAAAATATATTTTATTTTTAAATTGTATTAAATATTAGTACTATGTATTCAGATGGCCAGGATCTGTGCATGATAGCACTGTATTTGACAACAGTTTACTGCGTGCCCAGTTCGAAAACAATGAGTTTGAAGGATGTTTTCTTCTGGGTGATGGTGGTTATCCATGCAGGAGTTATCTCATGACTCCCTTACTGAATCCCACTACTAACTCCGAAAAAAATTATCAAGTAAGCATATTTGTAGATGTCATTAAGTGATAAAATATTAGTTAATTTTTATGTTAAATACAGAAAGCCCAAATAGGTACGTGGAATGTCATTGAACGTGTTTTTGGAGTTTTAAAACGACGATTTCCTGTCTTATCTGTTGGCATTCGCACTCAACCAAGGACAGCTTTGACAACAATTGTTGCTACTGCAGTTTTGTATAATATTTTACTAAAACAAAATGATGAAATGCCATTAAATGAACAGCAATTAGACAATAATTTATTAGAAGAACTACCAGCTTTGCCAGTAAGACAGATTGGAAATGTTGTAAGAAACAATGTAATAGAAACTTATTTTTCTTAATCACATTATCATTATCACATTATCTACTTTTTAATATCTGAAAAATATATAATAACAGTCAAATATCTTTTGATTAAAATTAAAATAAAATCATAATTCCTTTTGTTTTATAAATGTAACTATAAATAAATAATAATAATTCTTATAATTCTTTTAATTTTTTTTTCAATTCGTATTCTAAAATCTCTTCTTTTAGCTTGTTTTGCTTGGCTTGGGAAATATAATTGTCTCTTTCTCCCTTCAGTTTTTCAATTGCCACAATTTTTTCAATTTCTAAAATTTCTAGCTTTTTATCAGACTGTTTTCTTTTAAGATTGTTGTTGTCATTTATAAATGATTCCTTTAAATTATATGAACTTAATTGCTTGTTAGTAAGTTCATTTAAATTTTCATATATCTTCTTGGGAGGTACACGCGTTGTTGAACTCTTGGGAAATTTTTCTCGTGGCGTTGAAGTTTCGATTGCTTTTTGTGTTGACTGCTTGTGACTAGTTATGTTTTCTAAACAAAATTAAACACTTGTATAAAATGTGTTTTATAAATTGTAATAACAATTTTTACCATATGCTGCGTGTTGATCATCTACCACATCATCAAATTTAAGAGATATCGGTTCTAAAGCATTTACTTCCATATCATTAGGGCCCAAATAAGAATCTAAAAAAAAACAACAACACAAAATAAAGTATTTTCGAATTGAATTTTAAAAATTATTTAAAGTACTTACATTCTACTGGACTACATTCATCAAAAATTTCAACATATTGATCGTCAGTATAAACTGGAGTATAACTTTTATTTATAACTGCAGATGTACTAGGAAAATCGCCATCACAATCATAAGGTGATTCTACTGATTCAAATCGGTTACCCATCATTCCAATTATTTTGTTGCTTATAGTAGAAGAATGAATTTGAGATTGTCCTCCTCCAGTTTTGTAAATGTCTCTCTATTAAAATCATATTTAAATGTTATGGAGATAAAACACAACAGAAAATATAGATAAATATAGAACAAAGTTTTTTAGAGGATGTCAGCTCACTATTTGTTTTCTCTCTAATCCATGCGCTACATAGACATAACGCATTTATGAAGAATCATTGTTTTATGTTTTTGAGTAATCTTAAAGTAAACCCATTACAAAAACATAAAACAATTATTATTTTGAAAGTCCAATACAAAATCAAATAACAATAAAATATAAAACCGATATGTCATACCCTCAAAAATATTATCCTCTCAAGTTTTTTTATAGGTAATTTTACCATAGATTAATTATTATTATAGTACATAGGTAGGTACTACATTGTTACTAGAAACTCGTGGGCTACATATATGCATATAAAAATTAAAATTAACTTAACTGTACAATAATGATGATTAACTATAAAAAGCTAAGTTAAAACAATACAAAATTTAACTGAATAAGTCAATAAGTTAAAATCAAAAATAACTAACCAGTTAAGTTAAAAAGTTTAAAAAAATTAACTTTTTACTTAGTTTTAACTTTTTAACAAGTTAATGCCCACCATTGTGTAGAGTTAGCATTGAGATAAAAAGCAACCTACTTTATTCATTAAATTATTATACATAGTACTTACTTTTTCATTATTTAAATCAGATTTGGCCGATTTGTATAAAAGTTGATTCATCGTTTTTAATTCATCTATAGTTTTTATCCCACTGGTTTGCAGTTGGTTATACGCTTCAGAAATGGTATTCCATGCATTAGCTTGTATATCCGAAGAAGCAAATGAATCCTACATAAATAAATATATAATTTAATATGTGAAACAATTAATTATTACAATGTATAACATACAACAGATAATTTGTTTTCTGAAATAAGATCCAACATCAAATCTTTTTCTCGTTCAGTTTGTACTGCAGTCTGATGTATGTAAGAATTAACCTGTATTAAAAAATTTATTATTTACAATAATCTACAACAAAATATTTGACATCTGTTTGAGCACTATTAAAAATAACATAAGTACATTAAACCAAATACAATGAAATAATATTGTTAGTTTAAAATATCACCACCTACTTAGAAAAGAATTTAAGCATAAATAGTCAAATATTATGTATATTTTTAAAATAAATTACTTTTTCAGAGCTTTTGTCTTTTCTAGTTTTACGTTTCATAACGTCAAACAAAGCTTTTAACTGACTGCTTGTTCTTGGTCCAGTAGTTTGTAGTGCATTATAATTGGTAGTTATACTTTCCCAAACACTACACTTCATTTTGTTTGTAGCACCATCAGTCTATTTCAAAAAATGTTAAGTAAATGTTAACATAATAATAATGTTTTCAATTATATTTCAACTTAAATAAAATAGTATTTTAAAAATACTTATTACTCTAAATTTTAATACACACCTTAATGTTTTCAATCACACTTAAATGTGGTTGGATTAACTGTAATAATACATTCTTTTCTTCATCACTGACATTCTTGCTTCTACGTTTACTCATCATTTTGTAGTATAATAATTTATAAAATATCAAAATTAAATTTTAACACAATAACAGATATGAAATTTATCATTTGTCGGTACTGATGGTACTCAATAGTCGTCAGTCAATGTCAATGTAATAAGTAAAGTAATATATTAATTGTAACCTAATAATAGTCGCAATCGGTACCATTTCAAAAAACGATGATAACAAACGATGACCGTTTTATCATTAATTGCTTATACCATATTACCATGACCTGGGTAAGTTATCAAATAATTATATATTTGTTTAACATTTTATGCAACAGTGATGTATTTTAAGGAACCAATAAAGATATTTATATAATGGTTTATCGACCCATTAGTATACCTTATCGTGCTGTTTTTATCGATCGTTTATGCAACCCGGCATAAGTATCTATTTTGCCTCGTAGTTGACTCATTGAGTAAATTATTTTATTATGTCCGAGTTTTACGTCCTATGAGATTTCTTGGCACCAACTTACTTATCTATAATTTTTCCCACCATAACTTTTGTGTCTTGAGTTGTATTTTATTATTATTATTATTATTACTCTCGTTATTATTTCATCCTTATTTATGCATTTATTATAATGAACAATAAAATCCACGGTGCTCCGGCCTATCAATCAGCGCGAATTTGTACTTTGCCAATAACCGCTATTTATCGGGAACCTTGATTGGATCAATGTGAAAACATTAAGCAGTACTCACTATACCTTCTAAATGGATGTATTTATACAATTGTATCTGTATTTAAATACAATTTTATAAAACTTTCTATTAAATCTATCATCTGACATCTATGTCTCACGACTCAGCACCGTTTTAAAACAAACATTTTTCCGTTTTATTTAGGCAGAAATAACTTTCTATGATTATAATGATACATCACTAATTTCCGGACCTAATCCAATAAAATGGAACTTAAATTTAGATTACATTAATTTCTTACTTGCAAATCCTCAGAAGATATATCAACTATACCATTTGCAGAAACAAAACGAATGTTTGGTAATATAAGTAGACGTCTGACTCCTGATCATTTTATGAGAAAACTTCAAAATGGGGAAAAAAACTAAGAGAATGGGTTTTACATTCTTCTTCAAAAAACTCGTTATTTTGTCTCGAATGCTTGCTTTTCTCGCCTAAAACAACTATTTTCAGAAACAAAAACAAAAGTTTTATAAACTGGAAAACTGTAATAAATGTCTACAAGAACATGAGACTAGTAAAACTCATGCTGAATCAGTTAGAATCTAGTCTTTTAGAATCAAAAAAGACGACCATGGTGCCATAGACTTAAAACTAAGAATAAATACTGAAAATCAAATTTCTTATTTGAAAATTTTTTTTTATAGACAAAAAACAGTAAACATTTATAAACAGTTTCACTTTAGCAACTAGAGGTTTAGCTTTTAGAGGAAATAGTCATAACTTTGGTTCAAAATAAAACGGAAACTATCTTGGTTGTCTGGAGCTAGTAGTTAAATTCGATCCTTTTTTGTCTGCACATATAGTTAATTATGGAAATAAAGGAAAACATATCATACTTATCTTCCAATATATGTGATGAGTATATAACTTTAATGAGTAATACTGTAATAGATAAAATTGTGTCCAAAATTATAAAGAGAAAATATTTTTCACTTATATAGACTCGACTTCTAAAGTAACAAGATCAACTCACAGTCGCTATAAGGTATATTTCAAATGAAGGTTTACCGGTGGAACGTTTTCTTGGTTTTATTCCCTCCGTTGGACATAAAGGATCGGACATGGACCAAACATTACTTAAAAAATGTTGTGACTTAATATAGATTTGAAGTATTGTAAAGGTCAATCCTATGATAATGTGTCTAATATGTCTAGTATTTATAACGGATTACAGACTCGAATTAAAAACTATTCACCGACAGCCTTTTTTGTGCCATGTTCAGCACATTCTTTGAATTTAATTGGTTCTAATGCTGCAGGTACAACTCAGGATGGCACAAAATTATTTTTTATGTGTCAAGCAATTTACAATTTCTTTTATGTTTCAACATTTAGATTTCAATATTTTGACTAATATTATCAAAAAGAATCCAGGTTGTGTCGAAATAAAAAAATTGTCTTCAACTCGTTGGTCATCCAGGTACGATGTATGTAGAGCAATGTGTACTGGTTATGCACAAGTACTCAGTGCTTTAAATACTATTTGTGATGACGAATGACAAAAAAAAAGATACATGATACGAAGCTCGTTTAATTAAAAATAAAATTGAGAGTTTAAATTTTTGTTTTATGATGTTTATTTGGACACCTATACTTCAAATATTTAAAGCAACAAGTATTAGTTTACAGTCTATAGATTAAGACCTAGGCACAGATGTAACACTGTATGCATCTTTAGAAAAACATGTGGAAGACTTTAGAGAAAGATTTGATATGTACTTAGAACAAGCAAAAACGATGTGTTCAAAACAATTATTTTCCTAGGGTGGTGTGAGATAGGAAAAGAGAAACAAGTTTTTCGATGAAACTAAAAGTAACGATGAATTATTGGAAGGAGTACAAAAAATGAAATGTGAAGTATAATTTTATGTTATTGTTGACAGGAAAGTTATGCATTTACGTGAAAGAAAACTGTCCAACACTGATATAAATAATAATTTTGGATTTATATTAAAAATTAGATACATTGGAACGTGGGTGAAGATGGCCCCCCCATGTTTTCATATAATTTCAAAAATTACGCCAAAAATTTGCAACTGATTTGCAACTATTTGCAACGATGGTTTCATAATTTGCAACTCAATACTTGCAACACAATTTTTATTTTTTTACTGGGGGGGCCAACTTCACGTAGCCCCCCCAAATGGTCGTACCGGAACAAAACTGACACCAAAATGTTGCCCCCGATTTGCACCTATTTGCAACCATAGTTTTGTAATTTGTAACTTGGTACATTTGTCATAAAAACTTTTTTACTAATAACTTGTAATTAATATAATATTAAATACTTTAAGTGTGGATTGTTCATGTTTATAGTGTTTTATGTAGATCTAATTTATCTGTTTTAAATTGATTATGTTTATTCTTAATTTAAAGAAAGTAAAAGTTCCGAATACAAATCCTTTATTTGTCTTTAACTTTAAAAAATTATCCTTTTAAAATTTTATATTTACAATATATTGTGTAATTAGAAAATAAAAAAAAAATTAAAAGTGGAATGAATATAAACTAATGATTACTTTTTTAAATTTTAACATACATTAATAAATGTGGTTCAATTGTTTTTTTTTGATGTTGTCCATACTATTTTTGGTTGCAAATCATTGTGGACCTCCCATTTGCCGTTTCTTTTAATGTATGAAATATAATGATCATTTCCATATCCAACTACGCCAATAATTACATATCTATACAACATATTACATAATTATTTTTATTTATCATTATTTATATAATTTTGTATAATTTAAGATAATATAATACCTGTCTTTGTTGATCTCTATATAGTCAGGAAATTCTTGAAGTTCATATGATATTACTTCAGAAAAATAGTCAACTTCAATAAATAAATGTTCTCCCAGAGATCTTGAAGTTGTTTTTTTTCCATTGCAATTCAAACAGTTTTTGGTTTTCTTTGCAATAAATGCTTTTAAATCTTTTTCCAAATTGTCAAACTTGTTCGTTAATTGTAATGGTATAAGAGGATCCTGAAGTACTTTAGAGGAAGGACAGTTATTGAAACAAGTTATAGTTTCGATGGATGATGGTGCATTTCTTAAGTAAGACTTTATCATTAAAGTAACATTGCATCTGGCATCTATCAAGTTGGTGTCTTTAATACTAGCATTAGTTTTAAAAATGGTTCGAAGTAATAATACTCTACTTTTATATATATTGAGAGTTGGTCCTTCTTGAGCAAGATTTTTGCAAAATATAAGAAAATCGTTTTTAGTTTTGTCAATAAATTGCTTATATGATACTATATCTGTATACGCCATTGCAATTAAAACAGAAACTGCGTCAAATGGACAAGTGTTTTGAACCAAAAATGTTTTTTTTGATATAGATAAAGGCGTCTTCTTGTTCCCATTAATTAACAAAGTGTTTAATGTTGAACGTGTACATTTTGAAGACAAGATACGATCTATTTCTTTTGTTGTTTCCATATACTTGGTTTTCCTTTTACTTTGTTTTGGTTTATTATAAATATTTTCTTCTTTACCTCTACCTTTCCAATTTTCTACGGCATTTATTGAACTATCTGACATTGGTTCTTTTTTATTTTTTCTGTTATGCTTGGAGTATGAATTATCATCAGAGAAGAAATCTGAAGCACTTTCAATATTTGTAGAGTCTTGATCAGAATCATCATCAGTTGTTAATTTCACGTGGTTTTCTGTAAGCTTACTGTATTCGGAATCAGATTGTTTGACATTATTTGATACTTGTAAACATTTATCACTAGATTCAGAT